ACACAGCAGCATAGCAAGAATAGATAGAAGCATTTGATGTAATATAAGGTCAGCGGAAAAAACATTTCATTTTGTGGTGAACCACTTTATTTGTACACAGCAAATTATATACCAATAAAATTGTATTTAAGAAAATTTATACATAGCTGCATCAGATTATTACTGGTTTATTTTGATAGTATTTGATAGTATTTGATAGTATTACTGTATTATGTTCAAACTTCCCAGATCTCCTTCAGGGGCTCTGAATAATTCTGCCCTACAGAATATTTTGTAATAGCAATCTCTCTTGATCACTGTGTCAGCATTGTCACATTTCTTGTCTTCTCCCTAGCTGTTCTCATGCTTTCAACCATGCCTAAAGGTATGGTTTGGAATAGCCTAAGTGGCCTCATGCATATTCATTTTATATTTCAAATGCTTTCTGAAATATGAAAAAGGAACTAGTTCCTATCCTTTTTCTCACTACTTTTAGCCATTCATCTTGAATGACCACTGCCTCTCATTCTAATATATATTTTTCTTGTTACTTCTACTTTTTTACCTACTTTTTTTACTGTGTTTAGCCTGTTATTTGCACTTAGATCTGAAGTTCTCTGAAGCAAGCATTGAATTTGTTGTTCTGAATCTGTTCTGCATGTAACAACAGATTTTCTAAGTAGTACATTAAGTAGGTAACAAATATTAATAATTCTATATTTTGTTGAGGTTTGTTTTGTTCTGCTAGGTAATAATGTTATTATACCATCAGTCACTTTTCTATCATCTTCCCTTTTTGGAATCAACAGTCTAAATTCATAACTATCAGAACTGGAAGATAAGCCCAGGCAGGATGATTCAGTGGGTGGAAAAGTTTGACAGTACTGAAACAAACGGAAGTTTTATCCATGAAACTAGGGGAATTAGAATCTATTCCCATATATACTAAAACATTATCTGAGAGAGCACTGCTCCTCTCCAACAGCCCTATCAACTGTTTGTGCCTTAGAAGGAGCCACGGGAGTCCTTCATACTCCTTTTCTGAAAAAAGACTGTGCTTTTCATGGACTCAAGCAGTCCCACAACAATGCAAAGCTGAGTAATGAAATTAGAACTTTCCTAGCGATGCACCAGGAAATCAATATCTGAAACTATCCAACAGCTAGCATAACACAGGAATTTATGCATTAAGAATTAGAGGACAGTCTTGTCTTTTACCTTTACATTTTTGTCACCATGGCTGTTGCAAAAAAAAAAAAAAAAGGTTCACCAAAAATCTTTATTGTTATCCATCTTCAATAGCTGTCAAAATTATCCTCAATATATGAAGTTATTCTAGGTTCATAGGTTAGTGCTTCGGCATTAAGCAAAAAATTGGTTTGTTTTATGTAGAATGGGTAGGTTATAAAGTCTGTCAGAAATTTTTTTCATCATTTAGGTGCAGAATTTTAATCAATTGGCACTCAGGCTAAATATATAAATGGACAAATCATAAACTCATAGAATAATTCAGGTTGAAAGGCACCTCAGGAGATCTGTAGTCCAAAGTCTTGCTCAAAAAGAGATCAACACTGAATCACTGGCTTTATCCAGTTGGGTCTTGAAAACCTCTAAGGATGGAGACTGCACAAACTCTCCGGGCAATCTGTGCTGTTATTTGATTGTTCTCATAATGAAATTTCCTCTATATAAAGAGTCAAAACCTCCCGTTTCAAGTTATGATCATTGTCTCTTGTTGTCCCAAGATGCACCTCTGAAAAGAGCCTGTCTCCGTCTACTCAGTGACCTCCCTGTAGGCACTGGGGGCTGCTGTGGCCTCAAAGCCATCTCTGCTCCAGGTCAAACAAGCCCAGTTCCCCCAGCTTCTCCTCACTGGACAAGTAGACCATCTCATCAACCCTGCACTGAACTTCCTCATTTATAAATTTCTGTCTGGTTCTGGAGTCCCAGCACTGGATTCAGTAAGCCAGATAAGGTGTAGCTAATGCCAAGTAAAGGGAAATAATCACTTCTCTTGGTCTCTGGCTGTGTCCCTTTCACACAGCCTAAGATGCTGCTGGCCTTCCTTGCTGCCAGGGCACACTTCTTGCCCATATCCTGCTCACTGCCCACTAGGTTGCCCAGGCCTTTTCCGAAGAGCTGCTCCCCAGGCAGCCAGTTCCCAGCCTGTACTGTTGCAAGGAATTTTGCTTTAAGTGCAGGATTTTACATTTGTTCTTGTTGAGTTCCTTGGGATTCTCACTGACCAACTCCTCCAGCTTGTCTAGGCCCCTCCGGATGGCAGCTCTGTTCTCAAGCATCTCAAGCTGTTCCCAGCTTGAGAATCACTATCCCAGTTTAGTGATATCTGCAAACTCAATGAGAGGGCACTCCGTCTCCTCTCCCAGGTCAGTGATGAAAGCAGACAGATCACAGGATAGACTCCTGTGGTAGTCCCCTTGTTACTGGCCTCCAGGCAGAGTACCACATATTTTAACCACCACATTCTGAGACCATAGATCCAGCCAGCTTTTCATTCATCTAGTAGTCCTTCTATTTAGATTGTAAGTTCCTAACCTGCATACAAGTATGCTGTGGGAGACGTCAAAAGTCAAATTAAAGTCAAGGCAGATGACATCCACTGCTCTCCCTTTATTCCAAAATCTAGTCATTTTGTCTCAGAAGATCCCTACAGCCAAGGCTAATTTATAGGACTTTATTTTTTGAAGATAAAAAACAGTCCTATTCCCACTGAGATCAGTATCTTAAACGAGAAGAGTATCAAACACTTTGGACACAAATGCTTGAATAGGGATTTCTAGGATTAAAAGGAGTTGAAACAAGTTGTAGACTACTTTTTGAATGACATAATCTGGAAAATACAGAAGGGGAGAAAATATGACTCATATTCTGCCAGCAAATGTACTTGCAGTGGCATAAAGGACAGCGTAAGGGCACATATTGCTAGCAAACTCCATATACAAGTCCTCGAAGTGGCTTTCAGAACAGACTTCTCACCAGTAATGTCATATGAAGATGACATACAATGACAGATCAGTTGTCTCATGGTAAAGGTATAAGAAAAGCATACTATATCGCTGTTGTAACCCAAAAATACAGAACTATCACTGGCACACTAAAAGCGGCCCTGACTTAAGCATTCCAAGAACAGCCTAAAAAAATAGACTTGTTCATCATTGGCCTCATAAATACCGACTGCTTGTATTTCTAACTGAACATTTCTTAAAATAATATGAAAGTGTCCAGCTGTCCAATTTCTGCTTTCAGTACTACAAACTTGAGCAACACCATTGCCCTGAGCAGAACCAGAGCGTCCAGCAGAAATGTGAAGCACTAAGATCTCCCCTCTTTAGAAATATGGACGAGATTTTCAGAACATCTCGAAGACCTTCTCAGATTGGAGGACATCCCTGTATAAGAAATATTTCTGTATAAGAAATTTTCAGGTCCCTCTTATAAGGCCTTGGTCACTTTTTGTCAGAATCCATTTCCTCCATTTGTGTAAAATTAAAAGCAAAGGCACTGCTACCGCTTAAGTCTTCAAAACTGGGACATAAGTGGTGAACAACCTTGTGCTCTCTTCTTAAGCAATGTCTTAGGGGGGTTCTCATAGCCTGCAGTGGAAAATATTTTCTTTTTTAAGTCATACTAATTTCCAAGTAGCCATCTCCTATATATTTATGCAAGTTACTTTCATTTAAATTAGCAAATTTTCTATACCTGAGAATAGTGTGGGTCTGTATGTCTCTTGCCTGTTATGACACCACAGTATGAACCTGCTTCTGCTCACTCTATGATCAAAAGTCTGTTCAGTTTTTCTGCCTTTTGTTCCAGTAACTACACTTGCTTCATTCTGTAAGTTTTATCTGGAGTGAATGGGCTCTCAGGATGAATGTCTTTTTATTCACTAGTTTTAATTACTTTTCACTTTCATTTCTGACTGCTTTATATTTTAGCATATCAGAAACTTCAAGTCTTGGATGAAGAAATTCCATTTAAAACTTTAATTTACATAGATAGATATATGAAAAAATAAATGTGGAGATTCACAGTTCTGTATAAGAAAAAAAAGAAAGAAAAGTAATACTGTTTGAGCAATAGCTTACAGATTTACTGCAGAGGAACAGTAACAGGATCACAGAATGACTGCGATTGGAAGGGACCTTTGGAGATCTAGTCCAACATCCCTGCCCAAGCAACCCTACTCAAGCAGTCCCAAAACCTGAGCAAAGCTATGCTTCAGAAAATTGTTTCAGATACATAGCGTAGGAAAAAGAGTGAGATATGCATCTTCTAACAAAAAAGTGAGTATATCAGTACTAATCCAAGCAGCAGAAATACTTATTATAGTCAAGCTGTCAAACTTGAACAATAAGAAATACTTTTTTTCAGAGCCGTTTTTTTTAGAGCTGTTACTCCTAACCTGATTTAGTCAAGCCTACTCTCCATTTGCATAATTTCTTCAAAGAGCTGGTGATAATACTTTGCCTTTTTCAATTACATAATACTTTACCTTTTTCAATCTTTTTTCTTACACTAAGTAAATGTTTGTATCAAGTATCTCTTGGCAGTGCTAAACTAGAAATTTTGCCTGCAAGAATGCGTAAAAACTCTTTGAAAGCTTGGCCTCACTGCCAAAATTAAAGACTTTCTCCAGAGCCAATGGAAATGCGTTTCCTTCATCACCTTTATCTAGTGAGTGGAAACAGAATCCTTAGCCTAAAGCTGTAACAGTGCATAAAATGATGGCACTATGGGGGACATTTCCCAGTTCTGTCATGTGCTATTTTAGGCAGGGCTATTTTGGCCCTGCTGTAGCGATCTCTTGCCTCCACTGTCTGACTTCTTTGCACTTTCTGATGCAGAGCTACAAGACCTGTGCAGTATCTCTTTCCAGTTGTCCTTGTGGCCCGGTAGCCTTCTGCTGATGTTCATGGGCTAAGGACAGAGCATGGTACAAGACCTGACTCTAACTAAATAGGCTACAACAAAAACAGAATGTAAAGGCTGACAGCACTTACTGGTATGTGGTTGGACTGACATTGATGCGACGTGGGTGACTTCCTGACTCGAACTTGCTTGCAAGGGTGACGTTGTTTCCAAAGAGACAATAACGTGGCATTCTTACACCGACGACACCAGCCAGAACTGATCCTGAGTGAATGCCTATCCTCATCTGAAAAAACATGAGATCCACATCAATCAGTGCCTCTTGCGCTGCCCCTGCCCAAACTAATGTCATTAGCACTTATTTACCAGTCAGTCACAGCATCCACTTCAAAGAAATAACAAAGCAAAGAAGAAACAGTAGAAGTGGAAGAAAATAGGATCTTCCATCCATCTAGCTTAAACCGGCTGCATTTAAAAATTAGGAGGAAGATGAATATGCTTTTCACTAAAAGCATTTTCATCTGCTTCTTCTAGGCACGCTTACTGGAAGCAACCACTGTCAAACAGGAATCATAAACAGGACAGGGTGGGATGACCAAGAAATACTGCAATGTCAGCTATGCAATTACACAGAGAGATACACTATAGAGGGATACTTTTGCAACCAGTTTTAACACGGGCTTTAAAATATGTTACACATTTCTCAAATTGGCAGAAGGAGTAGTGAAGTGTAGTGAATGAAGACAGTACTTTTATCTTCTTCATATTTGTTTTTTTCTTCCAAACTCCTCAAGGTCTAAGGCTGCTTTTTTCACTTTGTCAGATGGAGAGATATTACAACGGTGAAGAAGCTGAAGATTAAGACACAAGGGCTTTTAAAATCATTTTGTTAAAAAAAAAAAAAGTTGGAATGAATCCCCAGCAAACTACAAAAGTAATGTCTATTCTAGCAACCATTCCACTGTAACTGTCTGAGATATGGAGATTATACTGATCTAGAAAAACATGGAGTCACCATCCAAGTTTCTTTCAGGGTGAATAATCAAAGAGAAGATTTATTCTGTACATATTTTAACAACCAAATGTGTTTGCCAAGAAAATCAGTTTTACACATAGGGAAGTATCTTTCCCTTGTTAACTCTGTAACATTAACAAAATCAAAAGCAGATAGTTATATCTTGGGAGGATACTCTTACTCTTAGCAACTGGACTGCTGCAAAACATGAGATAATGTGCAGAAAATAAATAGCGACTACTAAAACAGACATAACAAAGGGTCTGATGGGGATTCAATGAGTGAGCTACTAATAAAACTCCATACTTCATCAAGTCCTTTACTTACTCACGTCACAGTCATTACCCGCATATGCTTTTGTCTGTTAAACCCACATATTTGTAATAACACACTAAATACTTGCTCAAATACAAATAAAAAATTAAATTACTTATTAGCTTGCATACCAGAATGCACTGCTGGCAATTAATTGTTAGCTTTTTTTATGTTAAGACAAATGGCAGCATTTTATAGTCTCGGTGGTCACAAAGTTCTAAGAACACGTGGGGTCCTACATCGTTTCACTGACTATAGTTCTCCCATGCGTCTTAAGATTTTTAACATGCAGCTAAGTATCCTTTTCATTTTGTTCCTCTTTAACACATCACAGACAATGGGCGTAACAGCATATCCATTATATACTAATCCCGTGCCTGTTTAAGCACACATCATTCCGCATTCAGTGAGATGTTACTTACACTGTTTCCACAGGCACCAGAAAACCTTCAGTACTCATAATAATGCTGTTAATTACATATAATATTAAAAAAAAATCTATGACTAAATAGCACTTTCACTTAACTATGCTTTCAAACTGTTAGCACAGTTTGGAAGGCAACTGCTGAAATCCTTCAAATAGTCTATGCTACTGACTGTGAAGTACCCACAAACTTGCTTTGGCTGCAAACAACATCTGTTCAAGCCCATCACATCTACATTATTTTGGTGATATTTTGGGGCATGAAGATTTACTGTTTTTGTCATAACACATATTTAAACCCTGCTGTTAATTTCCAATCAAAAGTGCTCCTGCAGTAGCAGTCCTTTCCACGTCAGTGAGGTAATGATTACTCACATCAGTACCTGCCCTCAGCAAATGATTAAGAGCAGACACAGTCTTGTTCACACAACAGCAACTTCGCTGTCAGCTTTTAGTAAAAATAAAAACATTTTTTTACAACGTCTTGTTTTTGTGAGATGGGAGAATAATTACTTATTTTGTACACAAGTTTAAGAGCACAGCTAGTGCTACCTATTTGTTCCATCAGTGCACTGCACACTTATTAAAGGATCACAAATAAACCACTTACTGTGACCTCTTCTAGGGCACATTCAACCACATGTGAAGACCAGACTGAAACTATAAGAAAAAGCACTAGCTTTGTTTTGCTCTTGAAAAGTTGGGGTGAGAGCATACAATAGATTGCAAAGAAGATGTGGTAGCAAAAAATGTACTATTTTCAATACATGCAATGAAAATTGAAATTGTTGGGGGTTTTTTTCTACTTTCACTCCTAAAGTGCTTCCTTTTAAATGTCCACACAGCTTTTTTTACCATTCTAAGCTTCAGTGACAGAGGACTTTTACCAAGATTTTCAGATTCTCCGTTGCAAAAGTGTTAGGCCATGTAAAAGATCTCAAACCCTAGTCACACAGAAAGTGCTTTCAAGATTTTTTCTCATGATTGTCTCACTGAACAAGAAACTGGGGAAATGCCCTTTGTGGTTATGACTTTGCTGCAAGTGCCAAGGGAACCAGCCACAGATCTTACAATGTCAAAATGTCAGACTTGCTGAAAATAATAAAAGCAGATATACAGCTCTTGATATTGAATATTTTCCTCTGCCAGGTGATTGAAGTTAAAGCCATATCAACTTCAATGAGAATATTGAGGCGGGGAGCAGAAATAAATGGATATTTAAAATTTAACCCAGGAGATCACAGGTAAGATTTTCTTTGAACTGCTTGAGATAAAGAGATAAAGAGAACTTGATTTGGCTGAATACACAGCATTTAGTGTTCTACCTTTTTAGAACCGGTATAGATTCTGTATAGGGGTTTACCCATCTAACTTTTGGTGCTCGTTTAAAATGTTCTTGGCCACCAGGCATCAGGTAATTCAGATCAACAACACTCTCAAATAACAGCACTGCCAATCACTGAGACTTTATGCTAGTAATTAGCCTCAATGGAGAAAAATACCATTTTATGTAGTATGTTTGTTTTTTTTTTTTTTTACAAGCTGTGTTCCTACAATAAAAAGGTAGACGTTTTGATAAACAGATAAACCTATACAGAGCTATGGATGAGAGCACCAAAACCTGAAGTTATCATTAGATGCTGAGATTTAAGAAGATCATGAAAGTCAGTGCGTGTTTTGCTATTAAACCATATAAATAAATGCCTGATACAAGACAAAATTACACCAAAAATGTCCCAAAAGAAAGTGTCTCTTGCTTCATTATTTTATTCTCTACAACAATAGGTCTGCAACAGTGATGCTCTTTCTACAAAGTACTCCTAAGTGTGTTTTCTTATATCAAGAATAATCATTATACTGGTCACATTTTGCTTTTCAGTGAACTATGTTTTTCATAACAATGTCTCTTCAGGATTTTATTTCATCTGCAACAAAATTATTCTGGGTTTCTCCTCACTGAGTTGAAAAGTGTTGTGTAAAAATTCAAGGGATTTTTTTTGTACAAAGGAAGAAAATGTGTGATCAAATTATTAGCAACAATACATTTATTTGGGGACATCACCCTCTCATGTTAACTTTGCAGCAAAATAAAATCTGCCTAGAGAACTTGTTTTTTAGGGCAGTAGTCATAGTTTTATATGTATAGTTATAGTTCCTGGGCCTTATAGTACACACAGCCCTGCCTGGTGCTTTCCCAAAACAGTAACTTAAGATTTAATTGAAGTAATATAAGATTATGAATTTAACACATGAAGGGGAAATAAGGCAGCAACACAAGGATGCGTTATCATCCTAGCTATATTTATACATTTATGTACATTATATGTTTTATATATATATATTAGATATAACTTTATTAAACACTTACACTTAAATGAGCATTTTTAATAAAATACATACTCTTCCTTTGTGTTGGCTGCTCCTTTACCTGCCCTTAATTATTTGGCTAATGATCAAAGGAGAGCATATAAATGAGTCCAAAACAGGAACTGGAAAATTTAGAGGCATTATGCATATATCTGGAAAGACAGCTTTTTGGAAACTATCACAGAGAAGAGAAGAGAAGACACGATAGCTGTGAAAAGTCAAAAAATATCAGACCGCCATAGCTAAGGAACAGTGAAGGGATGGACAACGGCAGAAGACATTTCAAGAGCAGAATATTTGAAGGGACAATGGGAAAAGAAACATGAGTAGATGTGAAAAAGAGCAAGAGACCTGTAAAAGACCTTTTAGAAAAAGAGGAACAACTTGAATCAGCTGCAGTAGAACAATTTACAGTGGAGAATAACAGGGAGAGGAAAGATCAAATAATTTGATCTTTCCAGTAGCTGTGGAAAAAGTGAGGTGGAGAAAAGCTGATACGAGTGCCAGAGTGATAAAAGAAAAGAAGCCTGTTATGATGAAGACAAAAAGAGAATAGAGCTGTAGCTATGTGGATAAGAAAGCAAGCTTCTAAAATAGTAAAGAAAAAGTAGCAATATTTAGGTATGGCCCAAGGGTAAAGCAGAGGGAGGAGAAAAGGTTAATACCAGAGTGACCATAAGGATAGTGGTTGGGTCAATAGTGACAAATAAAGAAGGTTCAAAAGAAAGATAAGGAGCACTAAAGCTATAGTCGTTCTCTGACATCATAATTTAATGGGGAAATATGTCAGAAGTGGTGTCAGTAAGAACTCATAGACAAGACTGGACTGAGAGAGAAGAGTCAAGAACAAACAGGAACAGGAATGATCAGTATAAGAATGTTTTGCTTTTCTGAACTGAGTGAAAGGAAATTTCTGCTAATATGCTTTTTCCAAAGTACTGAAACTTAGGAGAGTCATGTGTTACCCCTTTACACCTCCTCATTGCCAAAGCATGAATTTTATTTTTTAAAGGTAAAAGTGCTAATTTTTTAAACCTGTTCTGTACTTTCCATCATTTCCAAAAGCCCCAGTGCCTTGTTAGGCACCTTACTGAAAACAGTACTCTTCATTTCTCATATAGCCTATTGCAAGAGAGTTCAAACTAAATGCTCTCCTGAAAACTCA